ATTTTTATACTTTAAATATTTATTGCTATTATTAATCTATTCAGTCCCACTTTTTTTTTCCAAAATCATTTTTAATCGATTATTTTGTTATCAAACTTAATATTGATTTACAGTGCAATTTATTTTAAATTTTAAAAACGGATTTGAAAGAAAAAAATTAGTGATAACAAACGTTTTTTTCTGCATATTTTGATGTTGGTTGCACTGTTAACTTTAAAACTATGGCCGTTAATAATCTAGAATTGTTCATAGGTCTATTATGAGACNTTTTGATGTTGGTTGCACTGTTAACTTTAAAACTATGGCCGTTAATAATCTAGAATTGTTCATAGGTCTATTATGAGACCAGGGGGTTTAAGAAAAAGAGGTTCATAGACAATTATACTTAATGGGGTTAACCATTTTTCTCTCCATAGAATGCAATTGTGTAAGACTATTGAGAATTATTATTCTTATTTATAATTTAAAGTTATAAGTCTCAAAAATTAAAATAATTCCAATGTAACTTTTTGTTATTTTCTCAAACTTATTATTACAATATTGTAGTTTTTAATTTTTTTAGCTTGAAATTACAAAGAAAAAAATAACAAAACCTCTATGCATAATAAAATCTGTATTTTTATAAAGCAAGAAAGTTTGAGGTTAATTCAAAGAGCACGTAGAAAGAGAAATCTTAATTTACTCATATTTTTACACAAAAAGCACAATAAAGATAATTTAGAGGTTATTTTTTCAGATTAAAAATTGGTAGAGTAGTAAGTCAATATTCCCTCAAAAGTCACTATAGAACTTTTTTTGATTTAGAAGCAGAGAAATATATATTCTATGAATAATTGACGTATAATAAAATCATACTAATAATTTAATTACAATGTTTGCACTTTATTTGCAATCAAGATATTTTATAAAAAGTTTCATTACAAATAAATACAAGTTAATAAGTATTACAAAAAATGAATTTTGTTTAAATAGCACCTTTGTTATATATATACATACAAAAAAAAAAAAATTTTAACACTAAAATATTATGAAATCCTAGAAAAACTATATTCTTAGATTTTTAATGAAGTTTCTGCTTTGAATGGAATGAATCAAATTCTTTTTTTTGTCATCTTGTAGTATAAACCTCATTTCATAGACATCAGGGTATAACTTTTGAAACTAAAATTTAAACGTATAATAATAATATCTATCATAATTATATGTTTAGTACATATTTTTATAGTGTAAAACCTTAAAGCTTTATTCAAATAATGAAAAAATACTTCCTGCGCATATAAAATAAAAACTATCTAGTTATTTTTGTTTAATGAAAATAATTACCAAACAAGGCTAAAAAAAATGAGCTGTAAATTTAATCTTTGAGATAAGTTAGAGATTATTGTTACAAAAGGAATCGCTGCTATTTGGTAATTTTTGTTTCATAATTAATTTTAATATTTTGATAAAATAAAAAATTTACAAATAAAACTTATAAACACTTAATGTTTATAATTTTTTTTTTTTTAATGTGTCAGACATTTATGGTTAAATTACTTTTCTAAATAAAACTTATTAAATTCATTTTTTTAAATAATTTTAAGAATAAAAGATTTACCATTTTTAAACGTTTATTTTTTTCTTTTGTTGTCATAGTAGAACAATTAATGATTTGATCTAATAATTCAATTAGAGCATCTTTAGATTCTTTGCTCCTGTGTTGTTCAAATTCTTGGTCAGATATTCGTTGACAGTAATGCATTAAATTATCCTATAATACATAGATAATAATAAAATAACAATATTAAGTTTAATGAAGTATAAAATTAGCTCATTAATGAATAGATAAAGATAAAAATTAACACATTTATTGAAAAATGAATTCAATTTTTCCAATAAAATGAAAATTATTAACCTTAATCATTCATCAATATGATAGGTATTTTATGAGATTTGTAACTTATCATTAAATGCAAATAAATATTACTAATCGCTTACACTGTAAAAATTCTCATCTTCACTATTTCGAAAATTAAATTTTTCTGATAGTATTTTATTTGTGTTTATTGGTAAAAATATTGTTTCATGATTATGTATTAAAAACATTACAACATCGGAAGCTAAGCAATCATAATCAAATTGATCTACATTTTGTCTAAGAACAGTAGAGCACAATTTTTCTGAGACCTAAAAATAAATTTATATAAGCACTTAATAATATCATATGAAAATGTATTTTTTTAAAAATACTAGTTTTAACAAAAATATAATTAAAAAAAATATGTTTGCATACCTAAATATTTGTTTTTAAATTATCATTTTTTTACATAACAAATAATACAGCGAAAAATTTTTTAAATTTTATTTTAATTGTCATCTAATTAACAAACATATTTTATAAAATTTTGGGTAAAAAAATTGCGTTTTAAGTGTGACCCTATGTATTTTTATAGGCTTTACAGTCCTCAGAAACTTATGAGGTTTAATTTAGTCTTAGTTAAATACATGCCTACAAGTGTTAATTAGGCAAAAAAAAATTTAAAGTATCTTATATTTTTTTGATCAAATTTTATTATCAAACTAAATTCTCTATAAATGCACTAACCATTCAATTTTGAATAAAGAAATTAAATATTAAAACAACAAATATTATTTAAGTATTAAAAATACACATTTGTAAAAACTTTGAATAACTTACTTTTGAATATTTAGTTGATAAATTTGAAATAAACTTAAGAAATAACTGTAATTTTGCTCTATTTAATGGTGGAAGGCAAAGACATAGTAACCGATAAAGTACAATTCCTAAATGTATGGATTTATCATTGAGACCTAAAATTTTTTTTTTAATAATTTAAGATAAATTAATGATCATTTTACATAATTTCTAAAAAGTAAAAATAAATTTATTTAAATAAATTTAAAAATATGTATATTAAATAATTTACTTCACACCATTGAATAATTTGTAAGTAGAATTTATTTTACTATCAATAATGGAGTTATCAACTAAATTTTGAATAGATGATACAGCCATATCTAAATTTATCCCATTAATATTATCATGATTAATTTCTTCAGATTGGAACAACGCAAAATTTACATATCCGGAAGAAGAAGTTAGAATTCTTTTATTGAGATCAACAGATTCATTAGCAAACCCATAGTTGTCAGAGAAAACTCCTTTATCTAATTCACTATTTTTCTTTGTGCTAACTGAATTATTAGATGTAGTACGTCCCAGTCTCCTTTTTTTTATTCGATCATAATAAGATCGTGTTTTTGAAGATATTTCTGGTGAACTTGTAGTCCTATATAGTTTTGGTTTTGACAATTTTTGAATATTATTTAATGGTTTATGTTCCATATTACTTTGTTCAACTTCACATGACTCATAAAAAGAAGCGCTACTACAACTACTTATAGACATAGACATTAAATTATAGTAAATAGAATTATCAAAACTCTTTTCACTTTTACTAAGATTTCTTAAATACTCTGATTCTGTAGTAGAAGTTGTTGAAGAATTATATTTCAGGTTACAATTTTCAGATGATTTTGATTTTTTACCACATATATGATCATGTCTTTCTACTATTACTAAAATTGATATAAATAACTCATAAAACGTAATTGGAATAATAGGTTCTTCAGAATTCAAAAAATAATCTTTTATTACTGAGTAAACATCAGCTTTAAATCCAGGATATGCACAATCTTCTTTATCCAAATCTGTAATTAAATTAAGATTAATAATTTTTGTAGTTACACATTTTTAGTAATAAAAACAATTCTAAAAGAGGAAATTCATTTGGAGAGTATATATCAGACATATATTTGATTTAATCAAAAGAAATTATTTTTTGATAGATTATTATTATAATAATTTAAGTAATCAATTGAAAAAGCAAACTTTTATTAAAATTTTCTTAGAAATCAAAAGCAATAATTTTTTTTTTTAACATTTACTATATCTCCAGCAATAGTCTTAAAATTTATTTTTAATCTATCTTAATGCTTTTGATTAAAATGTATTCAATCATTTATTTATAAAAATGTGTACCATTAACTAAACTGTCCATTGCTGTTTTAACCCAGTGAGGAAATAATCCCTCTTCGTTTTTCTGAGGATTATAAATATTTAAAATAATCCATTGTTTATTTATATTTTCAATGTTCAAGAAGTCATCCATGTTAAAACTTTTTAGAATCATAGATAAACTGTAAATATAAAAATGAAAACATTTATTGTAGCTAATTGTTTACAAATATATTTCAACTAAACTGTGTAAAATTGGTAAATATAGTAATCTAAGTCTCAGATGTATATTATTTATAATTAGGTGGCTGTTATTCAATTTTTTTTTTAAAGTCATCAGTTTACCTTATGATATATTCAAATCTCAGTAAAAATTAATTTTTTACTTGATTAATTTTTTTCAATCTTGAAGTCTGTAGAGAATTGAAATCCTGACAATTAGTATATTTTTGTCATTTCAAGAATAAATTACAAATGAAATAGAAATTGGAAAAAAATTCTTAAATTTTGTTAGTAATTATTAATATTTCAATTGTAAATTAAAAAAATATAATTAATTATAACGATTTTGGGATACATTCCCAGAGCCACAATTCTGACAAGTTATTTCTCTAATATTTTGTTTCCTGGAGAAACAAAACGATTACCTATTCTGCCGTATTTGTTATATTATATGCAGAACATTGTAAACTAACTCTTTGACAATACCAATAATACACTAGTACTTTGTTGCTGCAATTTAAAATAAATAAACGTGCTAAATAGATACATTTACTTGTATACATATAATGTATACAGAAAATATGAAGGTCAGTTTAAACTAACAGAACCACAATTTGCTATCAAAGAAATTTTATTTTTTGCTATTAGATTACAATTTGAACTGTCCTCATCAGTGCTACTTTAAGTGTTAGTGAAAATCTTGAATACTGTGCGTTCATTTGTCTCTTTGGGCAATAGGTTATGATGTGTTCAATTGATATATGGATGTATTGCAATTTGGTCTGGAATCCTTACTGATTAAGATAAAAGAGTTAAGTGTGTATGTCCTATTATAAGCTTTGTAATAGTTGCCCTACCTTTATTATCTTAATAAAATTAAATAACAAAAATTGACAGAAATGGTCCATTCGAAAAATTGGGCATTGGAGAAATGGTCTGCTAGGAATCTGTTTCACAACCAATCATAATACTATACTTAAGATAAAAGTAGTTCAGATTAAAGAAAGAATCCTCTTGTTCAATAGATATTGATGGTGTTTTGTTTATGTAGTATATATCTTTATTCGACATATACTATTTAATTGAAATTGTTCAGGAGGAACAAAATAATTTTCAAAAAGGATGCCATTAAAATCAGTAAATCTCTGGTATACCAACAGATAGTAAACATATTGATAATTTTTAATATATACCATTCTAATAAATAAACATGCGTGAATTTAAATTATTTTAATTCAAAGTGGTGGTAGTGTGGTATGTGCTTTTTTTTACCAAATGTATAATTGAATGGCTTTTTGTCTAAATTTATTTTATGTGGTATTTGTCTTTTAGTCATTACAGATTTTCCGATTATTTATTATAAATATCTATGATTATTTAATATTCTAAATGTTAAATGTTTTCACTTCTAAATCTTATTGATAAAACAATGCTTCAAAATATTATTAAATAGAAGACCATATGACTACTGATAATTTATATTTAGTCAATGATATGACATTCTCATTAATTATCTTTAATATAATTATAATAATACAAATTTAATTTTTAATTGGTAAAATGTGATAATTTAAAATTAGTTCGTTTACTCAAAAAAATTACTAATAATTCCAATTATAAACATTCTTTAAACATTTTCATAATATTTTTTTTCTTTAGGGCATTTAAATTTCTTATAACTACTATACAGAGAATAATTCACTATATTTTTATTTAATTATTTTTTATTTTAGGTAGTATATACCCTTTTTGCAAAACACCATCAATATACATTTTTGCATGGAGATTAAATTTAATATAACATTTTTTTATTAATTATAATGATACTATTAATGTTATATATACAGTATATTAATTTTATAAAAACAAAAATTATTTGTATTATTAATATTTAATTTAGTTGGATTATAATTTACTTACTTGTTTATCACATAATTTGCAATTTTATTATTTTCACTCAAATAAGTATTCATTGCAACATTTTCCATAGAATAGGATTTCATTCTATGATTAGACATAACTTTATCTCTCTTTATAGGTTGAGGAGACAACGATTGTGGCTTATTCATAAGGAATAAGTTTAATGAAGAGAGTACTGAACCTTTACTTATACTTTTCATGCTATTTTTTGGTACAATAAATCTATATATATATAAAAAAAAAGTTTAAATTAAAAACTTATTTTTAGTTTTTAATTTAAAAAGATATTATACATTACGGACGTGATTGGAGAGGTGGAAAGTTTTAAGTATTTAGGATCAGTTGTGCAAAAGAGCGATGGTATTGACGAGGATGTAAGACATAGGTTTAATTGCGGGTGGTTGAAGTGGAGAGAAGCATCTGGTGTCTTATGCGATAAAAGAATATCAATGAGGCCAAAAGGTAAATTTTATAAGACTGAAATAAGGCTAGCTATGATGTATGGTTCAGAGTGTTGGGCGGTTGATAAGAAAGTAGAGCAGAAAATGAGTGAAGCAGAGATGAGAATGCTTAGATGAATGAGAGGAGTGACTAGAGAAGATAGGATAAGGAACAATTTTTTTGCTAAAAATAAAAGTAATAATAAAAAAAAAAGGACAGTAGGTCCTTATTTCTTAGAAGTTGCCTAAAAAATATTGATAGTGCTGGTTCAAGAGGAGCCTATATTTCCCTTAAATACACAAAAATTATTAATATTCTAATTATAATAATTGTGTTTATATTATAGAATAATTACAAAAAAATTGATCAAGTTATTATACGTGAGATTATGTAAAAATTTAATTTTGATAAAAATATTGGTAATTGTATTTGACGTTAAACAGCATAGTTGTCATAGATGAATCCCAATTTAAATGATTAACTCATAGACTCATACACCATATAATGTACAAACTTATGTAATTATAAGCGTCTTCAAATTTATATATAACATATAACATTCCTTAATAAAATATAGGGCTGTTTGTAAATGCAAAATAGTGTACTAATAAAAATACATATTACACAAATTAAGGTTCAGAATGAACATATGCGCAGAAATGAGTCGATGCTCATATTGAAACCATGCGTGTGGACTTAAAAAAAAAGCTCGTAAAATAGTGAGAAATTAACAGAATGAATTTGGGCGGGTTCGATTAAATTTTCAAACTTTAAGTCATAAAACACTAGTGTTAGCGAGTGTTTTTCTCAAAAATAGTTGAAATTTTAAAACGCAAAAATTTTCCGAACTTTGCCAATAATTTTCCCGGAGTCTGGTGACAAAGTACTTTCGTTGATAAAATTTTTTTTGAAAATCTGAGCACTAAAATNTCACCGATGTGTCAAATCTGATCTATCTTTAAATCTATTTAAATTAGGATTAACAGCTTTAAAAATTTCTGCTTCATAAAACTTTTGCAATAAAGTAATAATTTGTTGACGTGTTATTTCTTTATTGAATAAATTTTGCAACTTTCCAGCAGAACCTTCATTGTACATCCAATCAACTGCTTCACATCCAGTAAAACAGTTTTCTTTAAACCAAAGCTGGTATCTATGGGATTTTAATGGCATACTGCATCTAAAATGTTCAACTAACTTTTGCCACTATGTAAAAGACAAAAATATGAAGTTATAATAGAAATAAATTTTAAATTGAATAGTTTATTTAATAATACACATTTAATAGTATGGCAAAAAATTTTTTTAAGGTTTTAAAGATAAAAAGTTTAATTAGTTGTAAAGAAAATATATTTCTAAGAAAATTTTAACTGGTTTCATAAGTTTACTTTTTTAAATATTTCAATGTTGGTTTTTTAAATAGAATGAAAAGAAAATAGAGTGTAATTAAATAATTATTTCTACTTACAGTTTCTGTAGCACGAAATTGAGAACACGAAGTTATATTTGGAAGGTTGGATCGTTCAGCCATGATGGTTGATACAATACAAAAAAATTAAATAATTAAAACGTTACTTAGAATTCCAAAAAGTTTCCATTATTATCATATTTATCTAAAAATGTCAAATAAAAAAAATTTAAAAAAAATACAAACAGATCACGATTACAAATACTGGCCAAAAAAAACATTAAAAATTCAAAATAATTACATTACACTTGTTAGAAATATTTAACCGTTAATATAAATATTATTACAAAATAATAATGATAACTATGAAATACAGCGCCCTCCAGCGTAGTAAGGGGTATTTCTCCTTCAATTATGACTATGTTGTACATTTATCAATTGTACAATAGTATGAGCACCGAATAGATAAGAATGAAGACTGATATTTAGTACATTATTTGAACTCGAAATCCAAAACCGTTAAGCAAGGTGTACAAACTTCCCATACGATCCTCTTACGGACACAATAACGATTGCACATATTGTGGCCATTGACGAACCACCTGACTGTATCTCTCGCTATTCACTATGTAATAGATGGCAGCATAAATAACTATTGTAGGATTATGCTAAAAAAAAAGGCTCTGCAGCTCAAGTTTCTTTGAATTTTTTTTGATTGGTATTAACACATTGACTGCGACATGTGTTCGAATTTTACGACCATCTTACGCGGAAATTTTTTTTGGTCTTAAATGTTCTATTTATTCTACTACTTTACATATATTTAAACTTATTTTTACCAATGTTCTATTTTAACAGAAAAAAAAACGACATCAGCATCAGAGAACATCATTCTTTTCGTATGCGGTAATCGACAATTTTCGTATTTGTTTTTCTACGTCTACACGCCATTATGATAAATAATATATTGACAAACTTTCACATGGTTAGAACGTATTACATAATTTATTTCAGTTTATTTTAAAATATAGAATAATAATAGATCGACAACTTACTATACTCGTAAATAACTGGAAATAGAAACGTTTCGTAAAAAATTGAAAAACTAAATAATGAACGTATAATTTGAAACACGTATTTAAGTATAATTCTTGCTTATCTGTACATTCGTCGCAGAAATTTTTTATTTCCACTCTTTTTTTTGGTTTTTGGTTCAAATTACACACATTTTCTTAATCGGCCCATTTTTCATGTTTCTCGGAACTGAAGAAATTAAATGTAGTTCTGAGTTTTGCGATTTTTGGCCGATGGTTATATATGAGTTTATTGATCACAGAATCCCTGTAGTCTATCAATGTGATGTTTCGAATTCCAGGCTGCTTCTTACATAGTTGATGAACAAACATCATTACATGAAAGATATGTAACGCGACTTTAGCATAACACCTTAGTGTTTTCCTATCCAAAAGGATAGTACCTTATGATTTGGTCTTTACGGTCCACACCACTCATAAATTCGTTGTACTTTTGTCTGCCTTCGGCTTTTTTGTTGCTTTGCCCCTTTTCATAGTATTCATTTAATCATTCATTCATTCCCCAAACTCTTCTTATTCTTCTTCTTCCTCGCCTTAATCCCAACTTCTTGGGTTCGGTCACCCTTATTCTAAACTTCCACTTGACACGATCTCCAACATCATCTACGCTCACATCAGCTGTCCTCATATCGCATTCAATAGCATCCCTCCATCTCTCTTTTTGATCTTCATCTACAGAAAGTGAGAATTCTTGTAACGTTTTACAGTACGGTATTTTAAATGTTCGTCCCAATCGCAGTTGAGTTTTGAAATAATGAAGTGCAAAAAGCATTACATGGATTGTACAAACTATAAAACTTTCATGCGATTATGCGGCAAAGAAAAATCCATACTGATTTTCACGAAAATTGTGATATGAGCCTATATTTCAATGCGGGTGTTTAAATAAATAAATAATATAATAATAATTATCAATGACATACAAAATTATGTATTATATAAAAATTCTATAGTATTTATTTTAATGAAAATTAAAAATATATTAAAAACTAAAAAATATAAAAATAATTTAATTCGAAAACCACAAAAATTACTAAAAAATCGCGGATTTTGCATGCATTTTAAATCTATACGCATATTTTAAACGCCTATTTGGAGAAAACTAATATTTAAAATAAAATCGAAATAAAAATATATAAATATGTGAAAATTAATTAATATCATGTACGCCGACTCGTTCGCTATAAGTTTAAATGAACTAAGGGTGTATATAAAATATATATAATGAATTAAGGAAGAATAAAAATATTTAAAAATGAATTAAGGGGGTATAAAAATATTTTTAAATGAATTAAGGGGGAATAAAAAATATTTAAAAATGAATTAAGGGAGAATAAAATATTTATAAATGAATTAAGGGGGAATAAAAATACATTTTTAAATGAATTAAGGGGGGAATAAAAATGAACTTAGGGGGCTTAATTGAAAAATTATAATGAATTAAGGAGTTTTAATGAAAATTTATAATGAATTAAGAATTAGCGATGATTAATACTAATGGCCTCTTGAATGTAGGCATTAAATATTAAAGGTAAAAAAGTCTAACTTCTTTCTTTATTTTGGACTCTTTAGGAATATGACTCATTTGTATGATTACTATTTCTTACCATGGTTGCTCTTTTCAGCATTTTTAACATTATTTTCTAGTTGACATTATTAAATGCCTTCTCAATGTCAACATAAGCAATAAACGTCTACTTATCTTTCCGTATTCTTTTTTCTGCTATTAATCTTAAAGCTAATATCGCTTCACTCGTAATCATATTTTTTCTAAATCCGAATTGATTTAATAATAATATTTCTTCTATCTTCTTTTCCATTCTCATTGACACGGTACCGTGTTTCCCTCAGCCGCACATCACGTTATCAACCTAAATGAAAGTGTATCGGGATCTGAATCATAAGTGCACGGTGGCCTAGTGGTAAGGTTTGTCTCTACGACGCCTTGGGTCGCGGGTTCTAATCCCGTACCGTGCCTCTTTTTTTCACATGATTTCCGGTACACTTTCTATAACCGGCCGTCAATCCCCGGCGGCCGTGTTATCTTATAGATAATTTTTGTAAGAATCTTTGAGACAAGCGAGAGCAATCGAATTGTTTGATATTGTTTACACTTTATAGCTGATGTCTTCTTTGGAATGGGAATAATTACACCTTTACAATTTCGGTATGTATATTCGCCATTTTGAAAATATCTCGAATGAGTTAAAATAATTCATTCACCAAAGCTCAGTCGGATCTTATCAAATCCTGTCCCTTTCTTTGGATATAATAAGAGATTAAGGTGTATTAATGAAAAATAATAATAAATTAAGGGTTTATTAATGAAAAATTAAAATGAATTAAGGGCTTATTAATGAAACATTAAAACTAATTAAGGGTGTATTAATGAGAAATAATAATAATAAATTTATGTGATCGTATACGAAAATTTTATGATGAGTTGATATAATTTAGCTTATATAAAAAATTTTACTAAACCATTTTTTATACATAGATTATTGTTTTTATTGACTCGAACACAATTTCAGACAAATGCTAATTATTCTATTTCGTTGAGATTTAAAAACAAATAATATTGATAACATTGCACATCGAATGTAATAGATACCATGTTGGATAAACGCTAATAAACGTCGTTACGTTTCACATATGTCATACACACGAAATATGAAATGTAACGCTCAACAGGGATTATTCCAGACGATCCAATAGAGATTAGATAATAGTGATTGTTTGTGTCCAGAACGGTGTATACGCTGGCTACGCTATTTCGATGGAAACTAAATATATTAATTTATGGATCAAATACACGCTCACAAATTAAACACGATTATATGATAGCCCAAAGTTTCGATTTTAGACGTTTTTCTTCTTCTTCTTCCTCGCCTTAATCCCAACTACTTGAGGTCAGACACCTTTATTCTAAACTTCCACTTAACATCACCAGACCATCTAAGTCCATTTTCTCTCATCTTATCCACGATTGAACCTATACTCCCTCTTATATGCTCGTTCCTTATCCTATCTTCTCTAGTCACTCCTCTCATTAATCTAAGCATTCTCATCTCTGCTTCACTCATTTTCTGCTCTACTTTCTTATCAACCGCCCAACACTCTGAACCATACATCATAGCTGGCCTTATTTCAGTTTTATAGAATTTACCTTTTGGCCTCATTGATATTCTTTTATCGCATAAGACACCAGACGCTTCTCTCCACTTCAACCACCTGCAATTAATCCTATGTCTTACATCCTCGTCAATACCACCGCTCTTTTGCACAACTGATCCTAAATACTTAAAACTTTCCACCTCTCCAATCACGTCCTCGCCTATTGTCACTGGTCTTCTCATTTCACCTACCTCGTGTTCTCCTTTATCAAACTCGTACTTTATATAGTCTGTTTTACTCTTACTTATTCTTAAACCCTTTTCTTCAAGAGCTGATATCGATACCTCTAGCCTTTGATTATTTTCCTCTCTAATTTCTCCTATTAACACTATATCGTCAGCAAACAACATGTACTACGGCCTCTCTCCTTGTATTTCTCTAGTACTTTCATCCATTTCATCTATAGGTAGTATACAATTTTAAAAAATTGGTGGATTATTCCAAAAGCTACATGATCTCCTATTTCCTTATTTCTATCCTGATTACAAGTTCTTTGATTTTTTAGTGTAATATATGAATAATATATAAATATGTAAAGGGAAATGGTGTTATTTTAAAAAAAAGTATGTCGAATGAAAGAGGGATATCAATATTATTTCTCATAAAAAAATTGTATTGATCGATACACTTTTCAATTAGTTATAGCATTATAAACATAGCAATATAAAGTTCGTGTTAACTTGGCTTCCTTAAACCATTACGATTATTTTATTCTAACAGAAACGTGATTAACAAATGATATCGATAGTAATGAAATTGGTTTGCCTGACTATTCTGTGTTTCGTAATGATCGAAATGATCTGAATAGTGATAGTTCTAAAAGAGGTGGTGTCCTTATAGCTATTCAAATCGTTTTTGCCCTAATGCTCTTATCTTACATAATATGTCTCTAGAATGCTTAGCCGTTTCATTTAAATCAAATAATTTTAAAATTATTATTATAGCTATCTATATCCCTCCAAATAGTTCTGTTGATGTTATAAATGCCATTGCGCCAAAATAGAGAACTTAAGGGTAATCTTTTCAG